GCCTTAGCTGTAAAGGCTGAAGTGAAGAAGGCACTCAGTAACTGCGCCTTCTCTGTATCTTCTGTCACCAGGGTACCCACCTCGTTCAACAGTGGGTCCATGTTTTCCCTAGCCTTCCTTCTGCTGCTGATGTATTTGTAGAAGAAGCCCTTCTTGTCTTTGACATCTCTTGCCAGATTTAGTTCCAATTTTAATTTCTTCCAGATTTAATTTATTCAGAAAATATGATACAGTTATGGACTAAAGAATTGAAATTTAAAAGTCATGTACCTGATGTTTATTTAAAATGAGACTCTCGTGTTTTTGATATAGTAGTACTTGATATCACAAAAGTTCTACTGTCAACATTGGTACTACTTATTATAGGATCCCATTCAACTTTACAGACATTTAAATCTTGTCATTCTCAAAGATTTCACAAGAAAAGCATTTTCCCTGGAACAGCCAAAAGCTTCACAGAAATGCAAACTTCAGTGGTTCTCAATTTCAATTTCCAAGTCCACTGTTGTTTGAGTTGTTACGGGGGAAAACAAAGACCTGCTAATTTTTGCCAATTTAAAAAATACGTCAGTGGTAACTGGATTACTGGATGTCTGCTTTTTAAAATTTTCTAAACCTAAATAGAGTAAGCCCTTACACACGCATTTACAAAGACATTTCTTCCCTTGAATCACACACACATTTACTGATCTTGAAAAAGGCTTCAACAAAAGCATGTGACAAATTTCCACAATAAAATGTTGTATATTGTAAGACATCACTTCTCCTCAGAAAAGACATTAACTCTCTATATAATGATACCCTCTGTTCGTGAAAACAATAACACACTTCTTACCTTGAGCCTGGAGCTTTCTTAAAAGCTTTGCATCGGTGTTGTCTAGAAATTCAGTGCTACCAACATTCGGAGGTCGACCTTTGCGTCGTCTCATTCTAGACTCCTCTCTAGAGTGCTGTCTGTCTGGATTTGGTGGTCGTCCTCTACGCCCTTCCATAGCTCTGATACAGGGAACGACTTCCTCTTCCTTCAGAAGACACCACTGCACACCCTTTTAATCGACATATTTCACAGACACGTATTATAAACACAGATTAAAAAAAAGGAAAAATAAATCTAAGACACCTGAGAACATGAAAAGCAAGAGATCTATATGCTGGGGTTTTTAAAAATAAGTTATATATACAAAATACGTGAGAGCTGTGATGTACTATTTGCGTAGTACAATGTTTTGATGATGCACAGAAGCTACATGCTGAGAGCTTATCATTAAGAACTTTTGTAAATTGTACTACCGTGCTAGATTTTTGAAGACTACTCAGTGACATATACAGTTATTATCCAGCAGGTAATGCCGCTACTGTGTCATTTTTAATTGCTTATTGCCTAACCCTTTTTAAAACGCAAAATAGATTCTTCCTTCTTACGTAAACTCAAAAATAACTACTCTGCTTTCACAGAATCCACTGCTCAACGTGAATGAAAAAAATGTGTCACGCCACAAGTCACTGTCTTTCAACTGTTAGTGTTCATAGAAATTCTGACATACGTAACAAGCAAATGCAGTAGTGTGTTTCCAAATGTTGCTTTCTGGGGTGTTGTAGATCTCAACAACTGAGTTGAAAACACACAGACTCATTTTAATCTTGAAGTCTTAATTAGTACAATTTAGTTCTCCTCCCATCCACTGCAAGAAAATTAGTTTCTGTGCCAACCTGAAGCAATCAAAAGTTTGTAACTTCTAAGAATCCATCTATCTGAACTAAAAGTTCTGCTAATTATATTCTCTAAGTGAACAAAGTATGCAGCAATACATTCAACCCTTTCTTGCACTATTACTACTAGTTTTTTGTGGAATCTCAAAAACAAACACTGAAATACTGTGTTAATACAAATACTAAAGTTCGTCCTCACATAGGAATACCTTTACTTTAACTGAGAAAAAGTAGAGTTTATTGCATCTACTGAGCACAACAGGAGCACAGTCTATCCGATCCTGTTCGACTGAACATGAGGATTTCAAAATTGTAACATCTTTTACCATTTTCCCAAGTTTTTGAAAAATGCAGGGAGGAATTAAAAAAATGTAAGTCAAGTATCCTTCCGGACTACTCTGTAATTTGCCTTGAAAAGGTTTGTCAAAGATTTTGAAAATGTCTGCTAAAGCAAGTAATGTGTGGTAACACACATTAATGAAGTATATGTTCAGAAAAAATACACTTGCATCACCAAAGTTTTCACCTTTATATGTACATAAATACTGAAATCAAATTTGCTGTATCATAAAATACATTTTTATTAGCTTATTCTGACAATTTATCTTTAATTCTTCCTGCTCATTCTTTGCAATTACAAATGTTTAGCATAAGATTGGACAAAAGAAACGGCATTTTGCTAATGAAACATTCATATTCCAAGGACGCTATCAGTATCTGCAAAGATACCTTTTTTTAAGTCTGAATCACTCCCAGTTAAGACCATCCCAAGAGTATATCTCACACTTAGTTTAAGGATATTCCAAAAGGTTTTGTTATCAGCTATGTTCCTAAAAACAAGCTGTTCAGAATCATGGCCACATCACTATGTGTACAATGCATCATCACTAAGGACTTTTTAATCCAAAATAGTTACCTCTACCACTTAAACAGAAGTTAATTCATTTTCTCTCTTTAAGAGTACTACTTAGGCATACACTTTCTTTTCATTGTCTAGTACCTGACTTACAATTTATCACAGGTTCAGTCTGTTGAGCAACGTAAGCTAGATTTAATAATGTACTTACCACCTACACCAACCTCCAACCTAGGAAATCTTATCGTATAAACTGCAAGTGCCAGAAGAAAAAAACACAAAATAGAATTCAACGAAAAGGAGGAGAGGCAGCCATAGTTCAAGAAGTACCTTAGATCCTGCAATGGAGATTGCTCTTGCTCTGTATTTGTGTTTTCTACAGTTAATGATACTAAGGATAACAAATATGCGGAAAAGAAAGATAGAGGTCTAAGAAGATAATTAATGCCAGAGATCATGGATGTATATTCCATTTTCCCAATGCCTCCCAAAAGAGAAACTGTATCATCATCAAATGAAGCTAGCAGAAGGAGATGGCATTTCAAGGAATGGGGAGAAGACTGTTTGATGTCCTGCCAAAGGACACTGTGGATGCAACAAGTTTCCACAAGTTTAAGAGAGGACAAGACAAAAATAATCCAGGACATATCGATTAAGAGTTAAAAGTAGGGGTTAATTGACCATCTATATTTTGTGCTCAGGTATCTTTTAAAATCTGACTCAAAATACAATTCTACTAACAGAATGTGCAGTCTGATATGCCGTGAATTTTCAATATTCCAAAGAAAAAAATACAGGGGTTGTGCCCCAACATAGGAGAATCAAGGGCTTCCATAAAATCTAAGCTTCACTACACAAACATTAGAGAAAAAACAAGAATAATACCACGAAATGTTGTGTTTTATTGTTGAAACTAATCAAAATAAGAACTTAATTCAATTTTCTCACCTTCAAGCATCTACGATCTATTGCAATATTGTACTGTAATCAGGACATTTGCCAAAAAGGCACCAGATGACTCTGCGTGGAAGCTGAACCAAGCTCAAAGCCTGTTAACCAAACTAATGAACAAAACCATAGGCGCTTTGCAAGAAGCAGACATGCTCATTAATTTCAGTTTAGATTTGTGAGAAAAAGTTAACAACAAAGCTTTCTAAACTGAACTGTAGAATTTAGAACAGGACGAACATTCTAAATTCCAGTTTCTAGACAAGGAAGTAAATGATTACTACTACAATACAAACGTGTATGACAGTTGATTTTGTAGTTGGCTGTTCTAGATGGTATTGCTGTTGCGCCTCCAATAAACATTTTAGACTTCTAAATGCTTATGTACAGAGTAAGTCTTTTAAGTAAATGACAGTAAGCTTAAGAATTGGCTTAAAAGAGGTAGACTTCACACCTTATAGAGATGTACTGCACTTGTTCTGAGGCAGCATCACAAACAGATACTCTGAAAAAGATTAATGTACATAGGAATTACTTCACACTAAGGAGATGGGAAAAAGTACTTTAAGCACTTCCCACCTTTCCTGTTCCTGAATTCAGCTGCCTTCTTAGGTAAGCATTCAGACTCATTGGGGGAAAAAAAAGGCAAAACATTATTTTCACAGCTTTATGCAAAATCTTATTGGGAAGAAAAGTGCATGCCATGTTTACCATGACTTAACAATTACTCTCAGAGAGCTAATATCCAGGTTAAAAAAAAATAATCTGTATTTTGCCCTTATCGATACTTCAACTAAGATGGATCTGAATCGACCTGAATGAAGAGTCAAGTTTTCTCTCACTACATAATGACCCTGCGAAGGGAAGGGCTGAGAGGGCTGGGACTGTTGAGTCTGGAGAAAAGGCGGCTCAGGGGGACCTCACCAAGGTGTACAAACAGCTGGGGGTAGGGTGCAAAAAGGATGAAGCATGGCTCTTTTCAGGGGTGCCCAGCGACAGGTGAAGGGGCAACAGGCACAAACTGAAACACGGGAGGTTCCCTCTGAACATCGGGGAACACTTTGTCACCATGATGGTGACTGAGAACTGGAACAGGTGGCCCAGGGAGGTTGTGGAGTCTCCCGCCTTTGAGATCTTCAACAGCTGTCTGGACACGGTCCTGGGTAACTGGCTCTAGGTGACCCTTCTGGAGTCAGGGGGGTTTGGACAAGGTGACCTCCAGAGGTCCCTTCCAACCTCAACCATTCTGTGGGTCTGTGATGGATACTCTTGCTGTTATGTATTAATCAAAGCCAGAAAGATGCAATCTTAGGGCACAGTTCAGTATCACTCCACAACACTCTCTTCCACCTACTACTTGATGCAGTATTCCTATCCATATTACTTGAATTCATAAGGACCTCTCCATCACCCCAAAAATCATATTCACACTAATCTTTCTAAACCACAGCAGTTTAAAGCCTCCACGTCCTGTCACTGAATTTCCACATCTGCCAAACTTAAAACATTCCTCTAGCCCTACTATTTCATGTCCCACTCTGCCAGACATGATTCTCTGTTAAAGCAGTTAATCCCTGTTAACTCACAGTATCTGGTTGCTTGTGCACTAGGAGAGAGAAACACAGGCGCTACCAGAAGCAGGTAATCCATATATTTTTGGCTTGCTATAGGTAATTCTTCAATATAACTGATTCAGCCCTTAGATAATTTTCTTCGCTTCTTCTTCCATCTTTGAGCTTTGTGAAACTGACCCAATCACTTTGGATACATGCTGCATGTCTCAAAAGATGACAGAAATACGTAATGAAGAAAGGGAAGAGTAACCATGAAAGGCTATACAGAATAATGGCAATTACAGCAAAAGCAGAAATTAAATTCCTAGAATTACCTCCAGACATCCATGAAGATATGATTATCACATACTGTTTTTAAGCTGGACAACTCAAAAAATTTCAGTAAAAAGGGTGCAAATTCTCTTCATGAAGTATCAGTTTCACATACAGTTTTACTACATGCACATTATCAGCCTGAGTGTAGCTCAACTGTTTACATTACAATCTTCTCATTCAGAATCTCATACATAAAATGTAAATACATTTTAGCACATCTGAAACAGCTGCCCTTCGTCCCTTTTTTTTTTGTTAACAAGAAAACTTTTCCTTTGTCTGACCAACTCTCAATGGAACCTACCACAAACTACACAAGTAGAAACTACAGTGAGATGTACAGCAACTTAATCTTCATATTGCCTATAGAAACCTGCCCTTCCTGATACCTTCATTCTGAAGTGTTAATAGTATCAAAGGGCAAAATCTGCAAATCATCTCATGAATTAAAGGGAGAAGAAAGAGATAATCAGAGAAGGGGACAAGACTAATGAAGTAATACAGGCAACAGATACAAAAAAAGTAACAGGGTAAGAAGAGAGAAGATAACCCGGCATTACATTATGTTCACAACATAAGGAATTATTTCAATAAAGCCATTCAGGTACATAATGATGTTCATTAACTAAATTAACTTGTAATTGTTGTTTTATGAAGGCCAAACATAAAGAGAGTTTAGCAATGCTTTACTCTCTAAGCCAGGAATCAGGAAGCACCACCTAGAAGTAGCTGCTTACTATGAACACAGTCTTTATTGCTTTCAAATTCACACTATGTAAACGTTACGTATTTCTACAGGGTATCACAAGGACATAAGGCTTAACTAGAGTGTGACTTCAAGACTGCTGAGAGCGTGATGTCTGTCCACATTCCTGTAGTAACACAGCCAGGATCCTTAGCTTTTAAAGAACCAAATACACAACAGTCCAAAAACTTTCATGCACATCCTGAACAAATGGCAACAGGACCAAAATACAGTAACACAGCATGGCACAAACATAGTATTCATTTCCTTAAAATTCTGATTTTACTTATCCTGGTGTGGTTTATCTACACAAAGCCTAAGAATTCTACCACCGTAAAGTATAACTGGAACAACTCAGCATTCCTTCCTGTAAAAAATCTCATCCTTCAGGAAGCTCAGACAGTATTCTCAATACAGGAACACTGGTATTTAAACACTATTTTATATATGTTATGCACATGAATACATGAAAAGAGTGTGATTTAACGCATACACATAAATTACTATCAATATTAGGTTTATACAGTAAAGGAAGAAACAGAGCTTTAGTCAGAAATATCTGAACACTGACAAAGATAAAATACGTAGCTCAGAGTTATTTTGTACCAGACAAAACTAGGCTCAGAGCTGATCATAAGGCATGTTGGACTCCTGCAACCTCCTAATAAAATCACTGAGAGGAGCGATTTTAAACACTGCCCAGGATCAAACTCTCAGCATCTCAATAAAACTACTATTAAGAAATACGCACAATTTTAGAAAGTATGAGCTAAAACACAGGCAATGCTTCAGATTGTAGCAAAAATTACTTCACCTAAATTTAAGTTAATGTTCCTTGGATCAAAGATTTACTTTTTAAAAAGTGGATACCTGCGGTCCATCTCTGGCTTCATAGAAGTCACCCACTCCTATTTTTGCACTGAAGCTGAAATTGTCCCTTGAGATATCCATTATTCCATTTCTGCTGAGATACTGAAAAAATCACATATTTTTCCACTTCAGCTTGTAAATAATTACAACCCAGCTTTGATGTACAGCTAACTTTGTGAGTGTAATGTTTTGCATATTCTATCAAAGGCATATGCATTTATAGGAGATCAAATCAGTAACAGACTGACATACATTATGTCTCGCATCACAGGATATTTTGAAATAAGTGTCTTTATTGGAGGGAAAAAATTGGCATTTTTTAATTGCAAGCATGCTTAGTATCATTAGAACACAGAAGTTTTAAAAAGGAATGTACCTTTACTACTTCAGGATACTGTCTCAGCTTCTTTCCACAAGGTGCAAAATATGCTACTTCTCCTTGAAGACGACCACCAAAGTTTCTTATTCGGGTTTCTCTTTGCCAGCTAGAGTAATATGAAATAGTTGCATACAACACCACTTTTTAAAAAACGAGTACTTCATGTCCTTTTAAGATTTTTACATAAAAGGAAAAAGGTACATACCTAAAATGTGACAAGAGTATCACAAATCAAATAGGCAAAATTAGAAATTGTTATTATGTAGTTTGTCCAGACTCTGACTATATATGGATTTATGCCAAGCTACTTACATACCACAAGATTTTAAAGGGCTTAGAACTATATTATAGGGAGTTATTTGGACTCTATACTGGCTCAGATCTAACCATCAGGAATAATTTCCAGTTGCAAAACCACCAAGATACAGGTCATGTTTGCAAAAGAGCAAATTCGATGCACAAAAATCAACACATGAAATATACTGACACTTTTAAAGAGATCCACGGTCACGGTGAGTTGGAAATCAAAATCGCTGAAGCCCTTTCCTTATCATTCAGCCTCAAAATTTTTTAAACTGTCATTTCTTTACTAACTGACTTTTGAAGGTATTATCTCCCTTTAAGGAATATTGAGTATATACATAACCTACCCATATTCAAGAGGAACACGCAGCTCCCGTTCATCTGTTACTCTTCGTCTTTTTGAAATACCTAAAACAGAATTTCTGATTAACATCTAAGAGAATTTACAAAATTAAAGTATGTTCCTAAAATATACTTTTTATCCTCATATCCCCAAACGAATAGATAAATAATTTTTACATTCTAGCCATTACATGCCTCAAGTATCAAGAAAACTAATGTAACTATTCTCCTTTTGAAATACATTTTCCTCTAAGTTTCCTTTAACCTCTTATTCTAAAATTGTAAACAGAAGAAAACCTAATTATGCCATACTGAACTGCTTGCCTTGTTTGGCACTCTCAGATATTGCTAAAATAATTCTTTGCATACCTATTTTTCTATACTAGACCACATTTAAATTTTTTCAGCACAGAAGATGAAAAGGCAAATACTCTTTACTTTAAAAATCCATACATTATTATAGGCTCAGCCTTCAAAAAGCACTATGTATAGACTGCGGTCAACTGCCAAATGCATAAAATTTTCAGGATTATCCCAGCTTTTTAAAGTTCAAGCAGATGTTGTGTTTGGTGCTAGTCAAGAGACTGAATCAATAATGTGACAGAGACAATTGCCAAACACGGGGTTTTACGGACTGCCAAACGCTGACACTTTTCTCAGGCCTCAGAGAGAACTCTAGGACATGAACTATGTACACAGACATACTTTTGGAGGATGCACTTCTCAAAAAGGTAGTTTGGACCTTGTGTAAAGAATGTGACATGTCTCTTCCTTCTGGAAACAACATGAGAGAGTATGAACCGCTGAAACTCGCTCCAACCTCTTACAGCCAGAAGGAGTGTCATATGGTGCAATGGCACAGGTTTCCAACTGAGATGCCTGCGTGATCTGGAAGTACCTGCTAAGAGTCCTCTACATAAAGACCTGAGGGACTGCCTGTGCTTGGATGCCAAACTTCTTGGACACACGTCTGCAGTCAAACTAACATGACTGACTCGTAGTCACAGTGGAGGGAGGAAGACAGCTTGTCCAAATATAAGTGAATTGAAAAAATTACTTGTCCAGTGAAAAAGAGATACAGTGAAGAGACACAAGCCCTCTTCAGTGACCGACCAGCTTTAGGTAAAATGGACACAAAAATATTTTAATTGTATTACGGTGATTCTTTTTAGGAAAAAGTCCTACACCTAAAACAAGGACATAAAATTAATTTATTCTACCTCCCACCTCCGTAAACACACAAAAATCCGCTATCAGCTTTTTCAAAGTATCATAAATCAACACAGATTCCCAAGAAAAAAAATTAACTTTGTATTTTAACAATTTGGATTACTCCTCATGCTTGGCAAATCTTTTACAAACTATGCAATTAATAGGCCTGTTTCTGGGAAAAAATATGAAGTAGATAGCATTACACTGCTTCAAAGTTAATGCCCTTGATGACATGGAATGAAATTTCTATTCCACTGAATCCAAATATAAAAAAAAATATTTATGAGCGGATGTTCCCATTTAGAATCTACTTACTTGCACGTTAATTAAGTATCAAGTTTCTAATTCAAAGTAGTAAATATGCAATTTCGTTTGTTACCATGAAAACTGAGAAGTGTGACTTTCAAAAATGCATTCTTTTTTGTAGCAGTAGCAATTACTAAATCTTACAAATTAGTCACCAAATGAAGGATTAGAAACACTATATAACATCAGACAGATGCTAAATGTACTTTTCATGAACCTTTTGAAAATAATTCCTTGCACACGATCCATAAATTCCACTAAGATTTTTGAAAGAATAATGAATAAAGTTCTATTTTAACTAAATACAGTTACTAAGTTTGTTGAGGAAGGGGCAGAAATAGAAGATTCAGAGTGCAAACTATAATGCATAGAAATTAGAAATTACTAATTAGTTTAGAATAAAATGGTAAATGACAAAGACTAAATAACAAAGTGTTTCAATGTAATAAATATCAACTCTGACTATTTCATCCTTCTCTCAAATAATTATATGAGCTAAATTCTCATGGACTAAGTGTAATGTTCAGCTCTTAAGAACTTGCAATTCTGCGGATTGATTGCCATGTCTATTGCAAACACACATGAAAAGATCACAGAATCACAGAAGAGCCCAGGTTGGTAGGGACCTTAAAAGATGATTTGGTCCAACCTTTTGTAGGCTTTAAAGGGAGCCTAGATGAGATAATCTAGCACCCTGTCCAACCGCAACTTGAGAACCTGTGGTGACGGGGCCTCTACAACATCCCCGGGGGGGTTGTTCCAGTGAATGATTGTTCTTACTGTAAAAAATTTCTTTCTTATGTCAAGATATCACTGGATACCAGTGTCTAAACTACTTTCATAACTACTTTTACAACACACTGACACTTAGATGTTACATTGTACTCTAACAAAAGACATTCAGATACCACAGTGTGTACTTGGTGTAAGAGTAGATGGTGCTGTCCCAAGAAAAACCGCAGGCTGGGACTCAGGACATAAGGCAGCTGGCGCAGAGCTTGGGGTCTTTGCCACTTGGAGATTAAGCGGGGTGGAATGAGCTCCAAGACCAATGGAAGAGCTCTTCACAGAGGATGAAGTTTTATTCAGTTTCAGTGGAGTTTTTTCTCCCTCAGTGTCTGTATCCGATTCATCTTGATCTTTATCATCCTCATCATCTTCATCCTCAGACCCTTCTGTATCTGACTCAGAATTACTGTCAGACTCTGTTTAAATAAAAAAAAGTGTGGCAAAAGGCACATTATGACTTGATAACTAATGGCAAATACATTTAAGTTCTAACACTTGCAAAGCCTTTTGTCTTTTTAAATAAGAAGCTTTTCTGACTTAAACTCTTTTTCATAACAACTCTTGAGTACAAATAGAAGGTTATAATTAACTACCTGAACTTTAAAATTACTACAAATATGACAGTGTAAAGTAATTCTGCATGATAATGCACTGTCGTTTCAGATGAATTCTTTGTTTCTCCACGAGGAGATGACGGACAGAAGCTGCAGTATTTTACGAGACTGTTTACCCTAGAACAAGCTACAGCTAAGACAAGCCCTGTGAGCCAGGCAGCAGCTGAACACTGCCGCAGGAAGGGCACTTCAGAAGTGGTGAAATCTAGCATGAAGAGGAAGCAAACGATGGAACTGGGCATCAGAAACGGGAAATGTGTCAGAACTGGAAATGTGGCAATCTGGGCAAAGGAAGAGTTAGAGATAAAGGGTAAACAGGATAAGGAACTGAAGATAGGCTACAGTTGTGAGGAAAAAAGAGGTTTAGTATAGGGTGTGTGGATGACAGGGGGAAAGAGAATGATGAAGGTGATCTGGACTCAAGGGATATCAGCCTTTCAAATAGTAGTCTGAATACTATCTATGAACACTGCTGCCCTTACAACTGTCCTGGTACTTTTCTCTAATTTTGCTCATTGTCTACTGTGCTCCTGAACGAAGCCTAGAAACACGCTTTTTTGTCACTCGTGACAACCTGAAGGCCTTTGTTTAGTGCCTCTCTGGTTGGGGAAGCCTGTTCTGCAGATGGGGTCTGCCTGCCAGAATAATTAACCCTCAACCAGCCTATTCTCTCCATCTCCATCCCCCTTCTGGTCACCTTGCCACATAAGGAGTACAGGAGCTGCAGGTTGGATGACTGATCTGGAAGGTAGGTCTCTGACAGCCTTTCCAGAAGGCTGTGGAGCCATCTTACCAGGACAGCTGAAAGTATACTTGCCATATGACCAAGTATCAGAATACTGAAAACATCATTCTGAATATCACACAATGGGGGACTGGGAGACACATGCTTCTTTCCAGGATATCTGTACGACACTGTGCGGGCCATGCTGCTCCAAAATTTCCTACCCCTATTTTAAAATATGGTGCAAAATGCATGTTTTCAACACTCAAAAAGTAAAGTTTCTGCTTTTCCTATTAAAAAGGTTAAACCACCTGATTGGCTATCATCAGAATCATCATCTTCATCGTCCTCATCCTCATCTTCATCGTCGTCGTCATCATCATTTGAGTCGTCAGAGTCCTTACTGCTGGGGGCATCTGAGTCTACCCCTCTGAATTGCTCCACCACCAGTTTTGCAGAATGAAGGCGGTGTTGTGTTTTTACTGCATTTACTGCATTATTGCTGACTGTTTTATCCTTTCCTGAACCAGGTAACACAGGAGAGGTAGAGGGCATAACAGGTGTCCGGTTACCAGTTGTTTTTTTCCCGCATGCACTCAAGTTTATTGGCAAAGAAAAGGGGGCACTACTAGAAATGGCTACACTTTCATTGATCTTGGTCTGGGATTTCAGTTTCGTAGTAAGTGCAAGAGGAGCCTCCTGGATGACGCTCTGAATAACTCCATTGGGTTGGTGATTACCTAAAAGTGCATTTGTCAGGAATGGATTAGAATGGTTGTTTTCCAAGGATGCGAGTTTTTGATGAGCTGGTGAACTAGATGTTGGTTTGGGGCTTGACAAAGCTGCAATAACCTTCTTCAGGTTCTTAGATGATTCCTGTTTCTTTAGCTGGGCTGCTGGGAATGTCTGTTTATATTGTTCCTAAAGAAATAAGAAGACAGAGGAATAAAATGTGGAATTTTTTCTTTTAGTATTCAGGTAGGTGAACTCTATGAAATCTTAAACATCTGCTAAAGTATTTTTAGTAGGTCAGAAGTAGGTACTAGCTACAACTGAAGAGATGAGTAACTACAGAGTAACTGCAAGTTACGCAAGTCTCTCCCGTGATTTCCACTGTAAATTAAGTAGGAAAAGACAAACCGAACTCAAGATGAAGCTGATCTAAACTACGTAGAGAAACTTTTTCACTTGCTACATCGCTCTAGATAGTGATTTTCATAAACATGTTAAGCATCTTGAAAGAAGAAATTTTAAAAAAACCAGACTACTCATATAATGGCATAGAAAAAAAATCCCGCTTTTTACTCATTTCAGCATATAAAAATCTCATTAGTGAATGTAAAACTAGCTTTAGTAATTTGTTTGTTTTAAAGCACAAGGTAAATACCACATACTAATGGTTACAATACTAGCAGAAAACCGAGAGAAGGCATCTGGCTTAGAAAAATTTTCTCCAAAAAAAAAAGTAAAAAAGGTATTACTTAGAAGTACTACAATACGCTAGTTTTTTAACTCTGAAAAAGTAGTACTTGAAAGTTCTTCAGGTAAAACTTAACCAGTAGAGGCTCAGAAATGCATGTAAAGCTTACGCTGCCTTTAGGATCAAGACTCTTACAAAGAAAAAGAAAATATAACATCTTTGACGGAAAAAAACAACAGAATAGATAAAGACAGTACATTTTAATTCAATTTTTAAATATTAAGTCAAATACAACATATTCTTGAAGTTGCTAACATTTAAAATTGAATATTAAATTATGAAAACCTATTTTAATAAGTATTCACACTGTGCATCTTTCTAGTAAAAGTCTTAAAGAAATCAAATCACTAAATGGGTGATGTATCATCAGCTAAAGACTCATAACCTAAATTTGACAGCAGAAGCCTCTTTCAATGGCAAAGATGTATGTTTTCGTAATTATAATTTATTTAACCATTCCAGGTAAATGACTAGCTTCTTTGAATTTTACAAAGTAACTAGGAGTTGAAAGGAAAAACAGTGTTTCTCTTCTGGTCTAGGAACAAAAACTACAGGATAAAAATATTTTCCAGTCCTTGCTGAGGACTGTGAGTTAGTTGTAAATCAGAGTTCAGTTAACTCTTCACCAATACTACTTAGTTTAAAGCAAAGTTTGTTTTTAATAACGAAATCTGCCTTGGTAAATATTTTTAATATATTTGTTTATATAAACACACACACACATATATCAAGCCTCAACATTTCTAAAATGCTAGATTTTTATTTTCTTCTAATCCTCATTCAAATCCAACTGAATAGAAATTATGAAAATTCATCACCAGTCACCATAATCACTATTAACAAAACAAATTAACTGAGAATCTACAAAGAATATTTGTAAGCCACAGAACTGTTAAGACAGACACACATAAACATATAGTAGAGTCCTGACCAATAAAAAGGAAGATCAAATTTACTGCAATGGCCATGAGTTTTAACAGCTATCAGTGCATTAATACCCTTCTGTCGTTAAAGAGCAAACAAAACCCAAGATTAAACTGAACACTTTTTTAAAAAAGGCTTTCAACTTTGTTTAAAATCATGATTAAAATAGGTAATTTTAATTACTTTGATTTAAAACCATCCAACAAAGTAAAGCCATGCTTACATGCTAGATATGGAAAGTACTACATCAGTATTCTGACTGAAACTAGGAGAAGCACAGGAAAAATATCCAGGCCAAATAATTTACCCATGAGTACTTTTCTTATTTTGATGTTGATTTTAGCTGCTCATTTTCCTTAAGATGTGCATGACAAAATCCTTTGCTTTCTTTGTACCCATTACTCTCACCAGCACACTGACTTTCAGCAGAGCTGTGAAGTTCCACTATGTGATGAGTATGAAACTCAAGTTTGGTATTAATTGACAGTAAGCTGTGTATATGATTACATCATGTATACATCTGGGTATGCACACATGCACCATCAAGTAGATGATTCTTCTCTGAGATAAAGTTACGGAATAGTTCAGGGCACTTGTAATGTATAGTGAATCATCTCTAAAATTAAAGCATAATATTTGTTGCGCCTTAAAAAAAAAAACACCACAAAACAAACAAACAAAAACACACACAAAAAAAAAATCAACCACACTCCCCCCAAAAAACCAACCACCACAGTTCAGAACATATATTACTACCCACACAATTTTGTTAAGTTCCATCATTCAGAAATTATACATATATAATTTTAAAACATTATATGTAAAAGAGCTTCATAGTACAATGTTGCACCTTGTTAAGCAGGCAATGCAGGTTACAAATAACCAAAAAACCAGTGATTTTTCACTCACCCGTTTTGATCTTACATCGCTGGTCAAAGAGAGAGATTCTTCAGAGGTATTTTTATTCCCTGCTTTGAGTAGATCAGGGGAAGGAACTATGAGTTTTAAATAGGTTTCCTTTTTGGCTTGATGTACCAAAGACAAAGGTTTCACATTGGGAACCAATCCCGTAGACTGTATTACACTCGTGTGTTTGTTCACAGATTCATCCTTTGCCTGAGAGCTTTGGAAAATAAACGGAAGCTGCTGTGACAAAACCTGAGGCTGCTTCTGCTGGGACTGGAATGATGAGTGAGTCTGGGAATCAGACACAAGAGGTATCTGCTGGTGTGCTGCTTTCTCTTGGGACTTTTCGTGTGGTTTTTGTCCATCAGTTTTCATATCTGTTACACCACTATGCATTAGCACCTGCAAAATACACATTTTTGACTGTTCATATTAGATCAGTTAAATATCCTTTCAAAGAAAAAGTGCATCATCAGCCCCCATGAAACAATTATGCTATTCTTGGCAGAGGATAAACAATACTAATTTTAAAATCAATCCTGTCATATATTTATTGTTTAAGGTTTATTTTTCCCCAGATAGTTTCAGCAAGTGAAGACAATGCTTAGTAGAGGAGGAGTACTAAACTGTGGTTGTTTTTAAATGTATTTTTGACTGTAAACCTAATAGGATATCCAAGATTCCAATCTTGTTATTCTATTGACTACCAGGAAAAGTAACCGCTCTACTATGAAAAAGCAACTGCCAAAGTGATATCCATAGAAAGATATATTTCCAACATACTAGCAGCACACAGCACTTAAATTCTTTTTATTTCCCACTTTATGACAAAAATAAGTCTACCAACTGTTAAATTCCTAGCCCATAAAGAACAACAAAACACACACATGCAAAAAACCCCCAGAAAACCCTGAAGCAAAACCAAAAAGAGTATTCTTAGCATTCGTTGACGTGTAGTTAAATAATTGATCACCAGTACAAACATGAACTGGTCAATTATTCACAAACAGCTTTCAGCGACAAGATTGTCAGCAGCAGAGCGAGGTGTCATACCTTGTTCTTGGTTTTGTGATGTGCTTCATTTTCAGAATCAGATTCATCATCTTCACTCTCTTCAGCACTCTGGTCCTCCTCCTCCTCTTCATCCTCCTCGAGATCATCAGAGTCACTACTACTTATGCCTTCACTTGAGGTGTCTGAAGAGGAGCCCGAATCACTGTCACTGTTACTAGAGCTTTCCACTGCTTTTTTTCTGGGCTTCTACCAGGAAGACGAGTGCTCTATTAATGGTTCAGCTTTAATCTGTTACATCATCTTACTATTATGCACAATCTTTAAAACAAAAAACAGTAAGACTTTGGAGTAAAGCGATCTGCCACCCTTGAACACAACTGATTGTCTTTGCAGAAGACTAAAGAAGTGCTTTACAAGATGACGAAAATGAAAAACTGGTCACAAGGTTCCGCTAATGTATTTTTCTGACCACATGCACTGGCAGAACAGTTAGCATTGCTACATTTCAAAGCAATGTATCAAACTTAGACCTAGAAAATCAGCTTGGAATTCAGTCTAGCACACCTCTACAAAGTATACTGCTTCCAAAAAAATTTAAAATCAAAAGCTTTATTGCAAACTAACATAGAAAGAATAATACATATTAGATTCACTAATATGTTTCAGCGAGACATTAATTTAACTACATTACTTAAGGGTAATTTCACAGTATGCGCTGTTCAGCAATGCAAGGTTTTGAGGGCTGAAAAGAATACACTCAAATTGTTTCTGGGATTTGCTTCTGAAAAAAGGACCAAAATTTGCTGCAATACTCTGACAACTATATTATATTTAAATTACTGGAAAGAACAAATCTGCAGACCAGAATGGGAAAGTAAAAGAAGCAATAGACAAGAACGTAGAAAAAGAAGAAAGGTGTAAAAAACACAGGAACTCCAAAAAGTTGACGCTGCAAGACCAGATTTTAAAGTGTAATGGATGAGGAAAGTTGGCTTTTTGGGGAGCTAACTAAAACAAACGAGTATTTTACAAACACATCTGAAGGAGGTACACGTGGACTCAACTGTTATGACGGTGGCTCTGTGAGCGACACATGAAACTATGTGTAACTGCACTAAAGCTTATTTAATCATTAAAGAGAGTTCACAGAATTATGTTGGAAGGTAGAGAAACATGTGAAATGATTACAGATGTCAGGCAGCAGCAGCAAAGTGTTACATAGCATCTAAACAGGGGATGTGGAGTCAACTGAGGGAATTATTAAGGTTAAAATTAGTCAAAAGAAAGGTAGGTGGACAGCAAAAGCAGCTGACTGGAGGACAAAAGAGTTGCAGCAATCTGAGATAATGCAGACAGGACCATCAGAGAAACTGCTTTAAAAATATATGCTTTCTTAACAAAACTTTCCCCAGAAGTTTACTTTTCCAATCTCATTTTTATCCTAGGTGTATTATAAATCAAGAGACTAAAAAGAAAGAGCAATTTCATGTCAAAGATCCTTGTCTTATGAAGAAGAAGAAATTCACTTAAATTAGTGGGATAACATAAAAAAACATCTAAGTGGGTGTACTGGTTTTGGATGGGATGGAGTTAATTTTTTTCACAGTACCTCCTAGGGTGCTATGTTTTGGATAGTGACCAAGAGAGTGTTGATAACTCAGGGATGTTTTCATTACCGCTGAGCAGCGCTTGCAGAGCCTCAAGCCCTTTTCTGCTCCTCTCCTCACCCCACCCCACCAGCGAGGAGGCTGGGGGGGCACAGGGAGCTGGGAGAGGACACGGCCGGGACAGCTGACCCCCACCGGCCAAAGGGATGTTCCAGACCGAATGGCATCGTGCTCAGCAATAAAAGCTGGTCTGAAGGAAAGGGGGGGGACGTTCAGAATTAAGGTATTTTTCTTCTCAAGCCACCGCTACACATGACGGAGCCCTGCTTTCCTGCAGGTGGCTGAACACCCGCCTGCCCATGGGAAGTGGGGAATGAATTCCTTGTTCTGCTTTGCCTGTGCATACAGCTTTTGCCTTCTCTATTAAACTGCCTTCATCTCCACCCTTGAGTTTTCACACGTTTGCCCTTTGATTCTCACCCCCATCTCAGTGGGGGGCAGCGAGCGAGCGGTTGCATGGGGCTGAGCTGCCCGCTGGGGTTAAACCACAACAATGGGATTCCATTTACTTTGTGAAGTAGCTATGAAACGTGGAAGCTGTAGGTGGATTAAATTTCATCTATTTGTCAAACTGGCTGGTATCTGTATCTTTTCTTTAAACTAGGTTCTCTGTCGATTCCTGTGATGAACACAGTTATACTTCATATCATCATACCTTCTGCATACTGCCATGTGCATTGCCTCACTGTTAGGAAATCTTAAGAATTTAAGTGTATTTCTTTGGATTTATTGTTTCACTGCTCAATTCAGAAAGGTGTCAGTTGATACTTCACAGGCGGGACAATGATCTGAATGTATGCAGGCACTTAAAAAATAACAGATCTAACTAACTATGCCAGTCTATGGTAGGTCCTGTATGTTTCGTTGCTGGTGTCCTTTACATCATATTTAACTATCTTCCTATCTAATATTTGGCACAGACGCAGAATATTTCTTCATGAAGGTTAAGATCATAAAATGAAGGACAACACCACGATCTGAAGCAGTAAAAGTAACAATGCCTCCTGGAATCACATCTCCAGGATTCTATTCTAGTTTTTCCCCTTCACAGTTTTCTATGTATCTCTGTACGTGAAAAGGGAAATACCCAAAACACTGCAATAATACTAAAATCAGAAATATCCAGTTTATTCACAATGCTGATGACATACATATTCGTAACATCAGCTTCTTAAGAGATGCATGTAATAGTCTGGAAAAAGAAGAGTATGTCAATGGGTTTACTTAGCTGATACTGTTTACTTCCACTCATCAACACTTCAAAACTTTTGCTTTCCATCTACCTTTACAAAATACGTTAGCTGCTGTATCTTACAAACCTACCTTTCATACTGCAGAGAAGAACATAAGAAAATTACCATACCAAGAAAGGAACATTCTTGTGAAAAAGGAGGCAGCAAGTGCCAGGCAACATCCGACACATAAGTCTGATTCACAAAGAACTACCCTGAGTAAGAAAAGGGACCGCTAATTTTGGCTTAAAATTTGGTATAACTTGTAAGCAATCAAATGCTTCAAAACTAATCAGTCGCTTAACTACACTGTGAAACACAACTGCTTCCTGAGGAGTTTTTACTTCATAAACAAACAGAATCTTTTGACATAGATAAAATACAAAGAAGTTGGATCAGCAGGATTCCACAAGAAGGGATGACAAATTAGTAGCTTAAGGAAAATGTAACAATATGGAAAATTTAAACTCATGCATTTAGTGGATACAAAAGGATTCATCCTGATGGAGAAGTTTCTATCCAATCCAGTATAAA